GGAAGCAGATTGCCCCATCTTTCTCCCACAGAGCAGCTGCTGAGTTAAAAACTCTGACATTTTGGTTAGCAGCCGAGCACTTTAACCACTGCACCATCAGGGCTCTCTGTACTAAAGAAGAAAGACCCAAATTTCTCTCTCTCTCTCTTTTTTTTTTTTTTTTTTAAATTATTAATAATACTTGCATAGAAATCCTGGTGATTTTTGCTGCCATTGTCACATCTTATAATCACTTTGTTTCTTTCCTTTATTATAGGAAATTCTTTTTCCACTATTTTTTTTATTCTGGTTAATATTAATTAGCATGCTGCATCCAAATAAGAAATACGAAGAAGTGCCTGATATAGAACTTAATCCTATGGACAAATCTATCCTCTCTAACCTAATTCTTGGATATACTCCCGTGACTAATATTACGAGAAACATCATGCAAAAAGTGTCTACCGATCATCTTCCTGATGGTATTGTGAGCTTATATTAGTATTCTGTCTATAATATGATACTTCTTCAGTGTTTATGTTTGTTGGACATATGTCCCTTCATCAGAATACAGTGTTATAAACATATTAAAGTCATTTAATTCTGCTGCTTTCTGTTTCTCATGAAACGTTCATCAGTTTATTTTTGTGGCAATAAGAAAATTTTATATGCTGTATATATAAATCTTAGACTATTTCTAAAATAGTTCAAGTATAGTTTTATAGAATAAAATGATAGGATATTTCATTTTCTTTCTGATTCTTGTGATAATTAATAAGCTAGAAATACATGATAAAGGTTATAAAGCAGTAATCTTTTCAGGTTGTCATTCTTCTTTATGAAACTATATGGTGTAAACTGCAGAAGTACTTAGTACTGGCAGCTGTGATTGTGGCCAAGTACTTGTGTCTGTTTTCCTCAGTCTGTACTTTTCACCGAGAAACAGACTAGAAAACAGTATAAGCAGTGAGTTGTACTAGTGAGGCTGAAGTGGCAGAGAGAGAAGCCAAGAAGTGCAGAAAGTGACCATAATGTCCATACTGTGGGTTTAATGAAAAATGCTGAATTGTAGAAATAGCAGGTTAGCATATTGTCTCATCCGTCATACAGGATAGTTGTAATTAATTAACTTCCAGTGTTTGTCATCATGTCAAAACAGTGAATCACTAAATGGAAGGAGTTAATTTTATATTTAGGAACCAAATGACATATTTGCCATTGGTTTATTTCTTGGCTTATTGTTATTTAATAATTAAACCATATTTTATTGATATAATATGTTTATTGGTACATTAAATGCAAATAACATGGATGGCATAAGAATTTAGCATGCAAGCTCAAAAAACTGATCAGGGATGTGGAGAATGCAATCCATTGATAATTCTGAGTAGAAGGGAAGGATACATCAAATAAATCCAAATCAGCAAGTACTAACTTAGGTGCCAAAGTGGTTTTTAAAAAAGATTTTTTTTAACTTCTATCTTTTCAGTAGCAGAACTATCTGAAAATGGGATAGACATACATATGTGGTGACATGAGAGAGCTCTGGTGGTATAGTGGGTAAGGCATTTGGCTGCTAACTGAAGATTGGTGGTTCAACCCACCAGTTAATCCACAAGAGGAAGGTGAGGCAATCTACTTCCATAAAGATTCACAGCCTTGGAAACCCAGTGGTAGTTGCTATGGCAGTGGGTTTGGTTTTTTTGGTTTTGTGGTAACATGACATACTTACTTGACTAGGAAGATCTTTATTCAAGTCAATCTTGGAGTTCCATGTCTATCTTGTGGTTATGTGCCCTCGAGTTGGACCCAACTCATAGCGACCCCTCTTTGGGTTTCCGAGACAATATCACTATGGAAGTAGATTACCCCATCTTCCTTCTGAGGAGTGGCTGGTGGGTTTGAACCACCAGCCTTCTGGTTAGCAGTCAGGTGCCTTAGGCACTGCGCTACCAGAGCTCCCATGTCTATCTTAAAGGTCTGGAATATCATGTCAGTTAATATTTAAGTATTACTTTATACTTTATGAATTGTTTTCATGTTTGTTACAACATTTGCTCCTCAGACTATATGTAGTGTGAGCAGCTAGGTAGTATAGATGAGAACACTAAGGTTCAGAGAGATTAAATGACTTACCTATGCTTACATAGCTGATGAATGACAAAGTTAAGTACCATTCCTGTGTTCTTTCCATTTTACCATATGTTCTGAAATTCTGTAGTGAAGCTCAGTTGCTTATAAACAAAACTGTAAGAAAATATATAAAAATTGCTATTTGGTTTAAATGGACGTTTTTAGAAAGGGACAGACAATATTGGGTTTAAGTGACAATTATGTTCAAAGAAAAGTTGCAGCATTGTTACTAAAATACGTAACTTAGCTCCTGATGAGGATTATAGAATTTCACCCAGAAGAAGAAATATTTTAAAATAGTATAGCCATCCATTTGTCATTCATGTAGTTTTACTTTGAGAGAGAGAACTGTATTGTTTGTTGTCTTTATAATTTCATTGCTGCCTGAAATCTTAGCTGATTTTAACTGTGTATCTGAAATTAAGCTTGCAGGTGGTAGATTTTAAAGAGAGAAGAGTAGGGATGACGATATTTAATAGTAAAACTATTTCTTATTAAAGTTGACAGTTTTCATTTAGATTTTTAAAAAATAGGTAATCTTTTTGTGAAATATTTTATAATATAGTATATTTTACATATTTTAATACTATACTGTATCATATTCATAACTTTGTATTGCAGTGATACATGAGTTACATAATTAAATGAAAGTTGAGTAATAGTGCTGGTAATATACTATTCTCATTATTTGTTATTTAATATAATTTTCTTAGAAGGGCTGTATTTATTTTTTAATAAGTCAGAAAAGAAAAGTACTTAAAATATTCATCAAATGCAATTATATATTTGGTCTACTGTATTATAGTAAATTTGTTAAATTTGTGAATTAACTATATAGTTACATTATTTTGCAGTGATAATTACTGAAGAATATACAAATGAAAAAGAATTGACAGCATCCAGTCTTTCTAAGTCCTCCAACTTTGTAGGTGTGGTTTTTAAATCCTTCATGGTGTATGAACTTCGTTTTTTTCCTGACAAGATTCCAGTATCTTCTATTTATATGGATTCAAGAGGTAAATAACCCTAATTAATCATTGAAAATCAGTCAGATGCATGTTTTTTTTTTTTAATTAGGATTTGGGTGAAGATTTACAGAGTAAATTCACTTTTCATACAGCAGTTCACATATACTTTGTCTCATGTCATT